GTATTCATAAATTATGGCATGAGATTTCTCATTCATGTAATTACTACCATCACATGTGCTTTGTGTAACATTTTCTACAACGAGGTTCCATAATTGGTGGTCCTCACCCCAAGATCTTAGCCCGACAACAATGTCACTTCGATGTCCCAATTAAGGTCAAGGTTTTAATTCTGATTTGTAGTTTGCTATCTATCCCCATGCTGCTTACGATTAATGGGGAAGTTTTTTTATGTAACTATTTAGTGTTGAAAAAATTAACAACTAATTAATAATTCCAATCACATCTGAAATCAATGTGAAAACGATTTAATTATTTTTAATACCAAATTGTTAATTGATAAAGAATAACTTTATTAATTTTTCCTGGCCTAACCGGGGTCAGTTAACCATGGTCAGCTTAGCAGTAGTAGCTTCTTGTCAATATGATCCTCTTCCTCCTCCTAAGTCCTAAGGAACGCCCTGAGCCCAACTCCACTTGACAGTTTCCACAATTTCAAGACTCTCAGTCTCCTCAATTCTATTCAATTTTCCTTCTGGAACCAATTAATTCATGGTTGGGGAAGGCGGCACCAACAGCAGGATGGGAGGTGCTGATAAAGTCATAGTGGCGGTCAAAGCAGAGAAGGTGATCTCAAAAACGGCATTGGCCTGGGCTCTCACTCACGTCGTTCACCCGGACGACTGCGTAACCTTGCTCGCTGTTTTCTCCGCCGTTAAAACCGGTAATTCAATTTCTAATTAAATCTTCTTCTTTTCTGAAAAAAGAAAGAAAAGAAAATTGAAGCTTAAACTTGCGAGTTCAATTTGTGTTGCTAATGTGGAATTTGTGCGTGAAATTGAGTGCGGGCAGGTAACAAATTCTGGAACTTTCCGAGATTCACCGGAGATTGCGGTAGCAGTCGTCGGGAGGATTTGCCGGATCGGATTTGCCAGATCTCGGAGTCTTGTTCGCAGATGGTGCTTCAGTTTCACAGCCAAATCCAGGTGATTCGTCATTTCTAGCTGAATTTACGTTTATGCCACTTACCGCCTTTCTCTATTTAGTCCTTTCTCGTCACTTTACTCGTTTTTCCATTCGGAATTCAAAAATTTCAACCTTTTGCGACAAAGACCACGTAGTTAGGTTGCCTGCTTGGCGCTTAAGATAGGACCACGTGGACGTTGCCGTTGGAACTTGTCGTACTTGCTTTGCTGTGTGCGCTTTTTCTTGCTTTTGTTTTTAGTAGTACACAACTGGACATTTTAATGATGTATGCTATAGTTGTCTGCTCTTTATTTATTAATTCAAAACTAGTTCCTTTATAATTTATTTATTTATTTTTAATTCATCTCCAATAATGCACAAATTAGTTCCTTTATAATTTATTTATTTATTTTTATGCATTTTGATAAAAGCAACAATCTATGGTGATTTTGTTTTATAATAATCAAGATGAAGAAAGTTCTTGTCATTCATCATTGGCTTATCAGAATTTAATAGATTCTAGATTTGTTTTGAGGCACAAACAAGTTGTAAGTTAATCATTTGAGTGGCACATGCTATGTTCTATGTGCTTAGAACATGTCGTGGAGTGAGAATTAACTTTATAAAAAATGATCAATCAGATTCCCAGAATCGTATCTTCTGTATGATGTGAACTATGAAAGGGGGATTATTATCATTTGAATTTGTTTGCACCTTGTTTGTTTTTTATTCCCTGGTTTAGTTTTTGTTTTCTGTTTTTTGCCTTTTCTTTTTCTCGATTTCTAATCAACTTGGTTCTCCTAGTGTGTAATCCGGAACAGATCGATCCGTTGTGTTCACTGCACTGGTGTAAATCCACTAAAAGAATGTATCTGCTGAATAATGCTTTAGAAGAAGGAAAAAACCTTTAATAAATTACAGTGATCCTGCTTAATTTTTAACTCACTCAGTCTATGAGCTTCACCTCCTAATAAGCTCCCGACTAGTTCTTTAATGAAACTAGTTATGATCGTATATTGCAGGTAACAGTGAGGATTAAGGTAGTTTTAAGTACACCAGGTGGTGCTGTGGCGGCTGAAGCAAGATGCAATGGAGCCAACTGGGTCGTACTGGACAAGTAATTAAACATACAAAAAGTATTATTTCTTATTTCCGAGCTATTGATTTAGGTGCATGCTTTACGGGTCGATTGCATCCCTCACAGTTTCACACATCTACTGCTATCCTAAACTAGTAAAGCATGTTGCCTTTTTATATCCAAGTGCCAGTTATGTTTCTTCGTTATGAGTGAGATTCAAATGGGTGGCTAAGCACCCTAGATTGTTCTCCTTTAACAGAAAATTGAAGCAAGAGCGGAAGCATTGCATGGAAGAACTTGGATGCAACATCGTGGTGATGAACGGATGTCAGCCTAAAGTCCTGAGGCTCAATCTAGCATGCCAAGATGAACTCCAAACACCATTCTTTTCTGCTGCTTCTTCACCAGGAACTCATGTTGGAAAGTTGCAAGGGCTTTCTAGAATGAAGCACTCCACTCCAGTGAGCAGTCCTGAAGAACCAAGTACCTCCTACACAAGAACCACAGGAGAAGGCTCTTCATCAAGTTACGACACTGTGACTTCTCTTTTTCTTGTCTATGAACAGAATCCTCTTTTTGAAGGACCACAAAGAGGAAACCACAGACGAAATTATTCAGAGGATCCGTATGAAGAGCTTGAGACAATTGGAGAAAGGCTTATAACTCTGTCTAAACCCCGACCGTCATCTGTAGTTACTACTCAGAGTGTCTTTTGGATCCCCCCAAATCACATTGTGGATCATGGAAATCCCCCAATGCCCCAAAATTGTAACAACGCTCACAAAGCAAGATCTCCCACTTTCCAAACTCTGTTTGACGAGTGTGCACAATTTGATCAAGATACAAGGAAAGATAAACATGGGCCCAAGGACACCCATCACAAAAGCTACCTTATTAATTCAAGCATCAGGGATGCTGTTTCTTTGGGTAGAACCTCCTCAGTACCTCCTCCTTTATGCTCTCTATGTCAACATAAAACCCCGGTTTTTGGGAAACCTCCAAAACAGTTCTCTTACAAAGAGTTAGAGGAAGCTACAGATGCATTCTCAGATATGAACTTTTTGGCAGAAGGTGGTTTCGGTGTTGTGCACAGGGGGGTATTGAGAGACGGCCAAATTGTTGCTGTAAAGCAGTTGAAGTTTGGTGGTTCACAAGCAGATGCTGACTTTTGCAGAGAAGTACGAGTATTGAGCTGTGCACAACACAGGAATGTTGTGTTGCTCATTGGGTATTGTATTGAAGGCAAGGCAAGGGTATTGGTTTATGAGTACATCTGCAACAGTTCTTTGGATTTCCATTTACATGGTATGCAATTTTCTTACACGTGTTTTTAATTTCAAACATATTCCAAAGCTCTTTTCAGGTTCATAGACATGGCATTCTCTTTGCATATACACATGTGCAGCTTCATGGACTTGATACGCATATGCTCATGGTCTTAATTTTGTTTGAATGACATACAGTGAACAAAACCTCTCTGGATTGTGAGTCAAGGCTAAAGATAGCAACAGGAGCAGCTCGTGGTTTACGGTATTTGCATGAAGATTGTAGAGTGGGATGTATAGTACACAGAGACCTGCGACCCAACAATATCCTTCTAACCCATGATTTTGAACCTCTGGTACTTGAAACTGATTCTTAAATTTTATAGCATATACTTCAGAAAAAATGTGCCCTTCTCTGTGACAGATCCTATCTCCTAATTTCATATTTCATCTATGATTTCCAATGGTCACTAATTTGTTCACAGTGCAAGGCATATTATCTTCTCTTTCCGACTTGCAATCAAATTTTTAATATTCTATTATTTGACTTGGAAATATGATTCATTGCATGGCAGGAATGGACCCCCTTGGAAATGAAGATATTATCCTGCCATATTTTTATACACCCCTATTGATGCTTATGGAACATGCACGTATGTTTTACTCTGTTTGTTATTTATTTAGGTTGCTGATTTTGGGCTTGCTAGATTGTACTCTGAATGGGAGATGAGCAATGAAGACCGCGTGATTGGAACTTCAGGGTAATTTTTTCCCATCTGCTTGCTATAGGTCCAAGAAATTTTTGTACAAAAGCAATGCAAATGTATGCACTTAATAAAGAAAAGACAGGAAGCAATTCCATGTGATTAACCTCAATGTGAACTGCAGGTATCTGGCACCGGAGTATGTTGATGGTGGGCAAATTACACACAAAGTTGATGTTTATGCATTCGGAGTAGTTCTATTAGAGCTTATGACAGGTAGACGAATCAGTGAATTGCAATATGTCAAGGGACGTCATATTTTGGAAGAATGGTTCCTCCCCTTAGCTACATTAGAGCCAAACCACATCTTCTCAAATTCCTATCAGTTACTGGACCCAAACTTGGCCTCCCCTGAAAATCTCGACTTGCACCATCAACTACAGACGATGGCGAGTGCTGCTTCTCTGTGTCTGCGTCGAGATCCTGAATCTAGACCGCCAATGTCGAAGGTGTCCTTGCTTAATTACTATCTTTAGAAAAAATAAAAATAAAAATCCCTTCCATTTTTCTTTGGAAGTTGTTTGAGTTGAAATTGTCTGGCTTTGGTGCAGGTACTGAGAGTGCTAGAAGGAGGAGACCCAGTTGTTCCTCTGGGCCTAGACCTGAACTCAGTTGGTAGTAGAAGTGGTCATTTGAACGGTCTAAGGTCACAAAGGCAACCTGAAGCAAGAGGAAGCCATTCTCGTACACTATCACATTGAATCTTTTTTGGGTTATGATGAGAAATTTATCCATGACAGTATTTTTTGCTTCCACCGATATAATCTTTTATTTGTTTGTCTGAGTTAAAAATATAGCTTGTAATAAATTCTCTTTACATGTATATTGTTTCCAAAACTTTAGTCACAGTAAATCTGATTTTGCAAAACAATGATTTGGGTTTGGTTAAGCAGATCAAATACACAACCACTATGAGAACAGAAGACATGCTAAGCAGTAAGCACTAGTTTCATTACCAAATTAAGCAAGAAATTAAGGAGAGAGAACATAATTTATTTATCGTATCTTTCATATGCTCTCCATTTTCATTCCACTCCGTTCCAATTTCCAACACATTAATAAGTCCTCCTTGATCGATCCCGTATTCATTCTCAGTCAACCCCAATAACCAACCTGATCATGAAAAACATAAAAACCAAATTAAAAACAAATTAAAAAGAAAAGACTCATTCCTCACGGGTGTCATTTCGAGTAGACACTTGGCGCCATACTACTGGCCAGTGCGATGAAGAAGTCATCGCGACCATGGATCACCATCCATCAGTACCTCCGCTTGTGACTGCTGCCCCGACCCGCAGAAGACGAGTAACTACCATCCGACGGCAGCGAGTCCGCATCGAATCCCATGCGCTGCTGCACCATAGCAACGGGCGTCAGCTCCGGCGCCTGCTCCGACACCCCCCACACCTTCACCGACTTATCGAGGCTCCCGCTGTACACAATCCACCGTGGCCCATGGCCCTTGTTGGCATTGATATCCCGGTCATGCTCCACCGCCAAGCACTTCACCGGCCCCGTGTGCCCGGCCAAAACCGACAGACACGTGTGGATCACTCCCTCCCTCCGCCACACGCATATCGTCTTATCTGCGGAGCCACTGAAAACTAAGTTTCCGGCCGCCGCCCAACACAC